TTCAAATTCTTGATCACTCAGAGGTATTTGATAACTTCGATTTTGTGATGGAAGAACATTCTTAGCAATTGGATCAAGAAAATTCATAATTGTTCGAAGTATAAAGCAATTGATTACTACAATAAAAAACTTTCTTTTTCTTTTTTTTTTAATAGTTTTCCATAAACATCAGTCATTCTGTATGTTGTTACTAAAGCATCAACCTCTATTCAATTGAAATCATTCGAAAATTTTATTTATATTACTTTAATTAAATAAATTGTTTTTATTTTAGTTAATTTTTTTCAAAAGAAAAGTTTCTTTATAAATTTTTTTCAAGTGACATCTGTCATAATTTATTCTGATTAGATTATAGACTTAGAACGATTGATAAAAAACACGCAATGTACACGTAAATAAAAATAAGCAACAAATAGAGAAAACAGTCAACAAAGTTTCTTATGTAGATAATATTAGTTAACCTTTGTCAATATTGAACACAAAAAGATGATTATTATATTTTAATTATACCGGAAGAACAATCTATCTTAAAACACACAAAAAACAATATCATTTTTTTACTATAAAATGATAAATCTATCCAAAATAAAAATAATTGTTAGTAATAATATTAGTACAATTGATATACAATATCGACTTTTTTAATTTTATGTGATTTCAATGGACAACAAAAAATTACAAACATGAGATAATAAAATATAATATTGATTGTCATGAAATTATTCATAGTACTTATTGTCAATATTTTGAAGAATTATAATCAATATTTGTTAAAATGATTCAATCAAAATAGTTAATTCATATACGTTTGTTATTATTATTATTATGTAATGAACAAGATCTTGATCAGTGTATAACTTAATCCGAAATCGAACGTATATATAATTGTTCAATATAAAAAATTGGTGTAAGAAATTGTATGGTTTTAGCATATACAGCTTTATCTGGTGATGGTATTCATAAATCTATTAGTTGGATAAAAACAAAGTCGTATGATAAGCGATTCTAAAGTATAATTATTTAAACATCAAGATATTGGATAAGAAAAAAAAAATCATATTTTGATTTCTACTTAATTTAATATTTTATTTCATTACGCGTGACATTCTTATGGTTATCTAGAAGAATTTTTCTTTATTTCTAGGAAGAAAAAAAAAGATATTTATAAAAAGATTGATTTCATTTATTGTAGTATTTTTTTTTCACTTTCTCTCGTTTACTCAGGTAATACACTCTGAGAAATTGTTTTTAGTTTTGATACTTTGTTAGTCAAATCTCAAAGGATATATAAACTATTCATTTGTGTGTTAAGAAAAAAAAAGAAAAGAAACGAGAAGACAATCATAGTGTTTAAAAATTGATCATTAGAACACACACAAAAAGAGATTAACCTGATTTGTATCTTGGGAGAAGTGCGAAAGAGCACATGCATGACCGTCTTTTTTTCTTATACTTGTTCTCTCTTATCTACTCCTTCAATCGATTAGTTGTGAAGAACAGAACGGAAGAGAGCATATCATGTTTGTTGTATATGCATGTGAACACATTGAAATAAAAAAAGAAAAGAATAGGTAAAGAAATACGAGAACAATATTGACAGCTGTACCATTCTATTCGGTATTCGTGATATGTAATGCATATTTTATTCGTTTGAAAAAAAGCACATTCTGTTTCATTTGTGTTTTTTTTCGTTCGAACAAACATGGCATCAGCCTGTTAGGAGGAGGTCGTTAATATGTTTTTTTCCTCTCTCTCTCTCTTTCTCTAATCTAGAATAACAATATATTATTAAAGAAGAATACTGATTGCATTTTTTCTAATCTTTATATATTAGAGAATATATAAGTCATAAAAAACAAAAACGATCACATTTTGTTTTTTTTTGTTTTTTTTTTCAGAATTTAATCTTATGTTAAATGTCTACAGAAACAACGACAATAGGTAATGCCGACAAATAATACCAGTGAATATTCTAAACATGAGCATCTATATTCGTCGTTATTTATTTCGTTTTATTCTTTTCGTACCTATTGTTTGGCTTTTAATTATTCTTATAATTTTACAATCTAATGAAATATCAACAAATAAACCCAATAATATTCAATCAAAAGATCATAATTTAAATCATCGTGTAGGACGTGATGCTGATGAAATTGATGCATTTGGTGGTGATGCATTAATCCGTTTACGTAATCGTTTTGTACCACTTGATAATAAATCTATAAATGTTGAATCATCAACTGAAGCAGTTCGTGTTATACATGAAAAACCAGAACAACTTGCACCACCACAATTAGATAATGCAAAACAAAATTTAAATGCACCAGGTGAAATGGGTAAAGCATTTGAAGTTAATAAAGAAAAATTAACACCAGATGAGCGTCGAAAATACGATCAAGGCTTTGAAAAAAATGCATTTAATGGTTATATTAGTGATTTAATATCAATACATCGTAGTTTACCTGATGTACGTGATCCTGGTTGTAGAAAAATTCAATATAAAGCACCACCAATAACAGCAAGTATTGTTATGTGTTTTCATAATGAAGCATGGTCAGTATTATTACGATCAATCCATTCAATTATTGATCGTACTCCTCCAGCTTTATTAAAAGAAATTATTCTTGTTGATGATTTTTCTGATATGGGTAAGATATGATCTTGTTTTTTTCTCCTATTGTGTTTTAGAAAAAAAAAGAATTTATTTTTGTCAATAGAACATTTGAAACAACCCCTTGATGATTATGTAAAAGCTCTTGGTAACGTAAAAGTTGTTCGACAAAGCAAACGTGAAGGTCTTATTCGATCACGTTTAGCTGGTGCTGCTACTGTTAATGGTGATGTTATAGTTTTTCTTGATTCACATATTGAAGCAACTGAAGGTTGGCTTGAACCATTATTGGATCCTATATCACAAAATCGTTCAACAGTTGTAACACCTGTTATTGATGTTATTGATGATACTACATTTAAATATAATTATGGTGCTGTAACATCTTTGAGTGTTGGTGGTTTTGATTGGAATTTACAATTTAATTGGCATGGTGTACCAGAACGTGAACGAAAACGTCGAAAACATGAATTAGAACCTGTTCGAACACCAACTATGGCTGGTGGACTTTTTGCAATTAGTAAACTTTATTTTGAAGAAATAGGAACATGTAAAACTGAAAATAGATAAAGACGAAAAGAAATATAGTATTATGATTAAAATTTTATTTTTAGACGATGCTGGAATGGATATATGGGGTGGTGAAAATCTTGAAATGTCTTTTCGTATTTGGATGTGTGGAGGTAAGATTATTGATATGATATTTTGCTTTTTCTTAATTTACTTGTTTTTGTTATTAAATAGGTATTCTAGTAACTGCACCTTGTTCACATGTTGGTCATATATTTCGGAAACGATCTCCCTATAAATGGTTACCTGGAGTTAACGTTGTCAAGAAGAATGCTGTTCGTGTAGCAGAAGTTTGGCTTGATGAATATAAAGTATAGAAAGAAATTATATATTCAATAAATTATAATTATATATATATATAATTCTATTTAGAAATACTATTACGAAAGATTTAATTATGATTTAGTAAGACTGTGCTTTCCTTTTTGTTTTCTTGTTATTAATAAAAATAATTTTGTTTTAATAGGGTGAATATGGTGATGTTGCTTCTCGTAAATTACTTCGGCAAAAATTACAATGTAAATCTTTTAAATGGTATTTAAGTGAAATTTATCCAGAACAATTTATTCCTGGTGAAGCAGTAGCTTCGGGCGAGGTTTGTAGATAAAATGAAAAACAATTAAAAAAAAATTACAAAAATCTTTTTTTTGTCTTTTTAGATTCGAAATTTAGCCGCCGCTTTTTGTGTTGATGGAAGTACTGATCACAAGAATTATCATAAACCAGTTATTGGATATCCATGTCATTCTCAAGGTGGTAATCAGGTGTGTAAAGAAAAACAAAATGATCGTTTTCTATATTTTTCTTTCGTCTAGTTTTTTATGTTAAGTAAATCGGGAGAAATTCGTCGAGATGATGGCTGTTTAGATTTTTCAGGTGGTATTCATGACGCTAATAAAGATGATAAAGTTATTGTTTATCCATGTCATGGAATGAAAGGAAATCAACATTGGCTGTATAATGAGGTTTGTTTTTAATATGTAAATTATTATTCTAATGAATAGAATGTAGAAAAGTTTCCTTAATTATAATAGAAGAATAATAAAATGTAATATGTGTTATTAATATGTATTAATAATGTTAAGAAAATGCATAAATATGGTATTATGTTTCAATATTAGACTTGTTATTTTACACTTACTCTGTCAAATCATTTGTCAGAGAATATTTTCCGGATTAAATAATTCAAGAAAAAGAACTATATTTCAGATTGAATAATTATATAGAGTTATAATTTGTTGATTATTAATGAGAAAAGTTACTGTTTGAGGTGTTGATCGATTTAATCCATTCGGAATGGGAGGCATATACATAGGCATTTTTCGTCCCGAAGCAGATCAAATCTATTGATGACTAATGTTTATCATTGATCTAACTGATATTGTGCGCTATGATTTGGTACGAACGACATAAATATGAATTGTACCAGTCTTTAAAAAGATTTATAATGTTGATTAGAAATGAAAATTAATTCATTTTAATTAATTCTGTGTTTCATTCTTTTGTTGAGTAAAAAAAAAGAATCTCGCATTGAAAGGGTAAAATTAATCTTAAGTAAATATCTGTAGACATATTGCTTGCGATTAACACTTATGTATTATCACAGTATCGTAAAATATTGCATATCGAAGAATTCTATTAGAGCAAAAGTTTCTTCTTAGATCTATCTAAGCTCTTTGAACTAAATTATGGTGAAAATATCACACATTTCAAGTAAACTGAAATGTTATCAAGAATTTTTTTCGAGAGGGATTTAAGGGACCCCTCTCAAACAAAGTTAACTTTCGTCAAAAACATTTAATAAAATAATTTTCTTTTTATTGTTTTATTCTAGAACAATCAATTACATCATGTAGTATCAAATTTATGTTTGACATTATCTGAGGATCATAAACATCTTCGCATGAGTGCATGTGATAATAATAATCAACGTCATAAATGGTCATGGAAACGAAAACCACTTGTCGAAACAACTAAAATTTAATGAAGAGAAAGAAAATTTTCTTTTACTCACACTTTTCATTATTTGTTTTTCCGAAAGTATATAAAATAATAAGTGTGAGTGTGCAATATCTGGTACTACACGTTACGTTTTTTTGTTGTTTGTTTTATTTTATATTATTCTGTGATTATTATTTTTTCTTTCTCTTCTATTGTGCTCTACTCATATTCAATTTTTGTTTTATTTTAACAATAGTTGACAAATTTCATACTTCACTTTCTCTCTTTCTCAGTTTGTTTTGAACTTTTTTTTGTTTTTTAAATATAATTATGATCAAATGGGAATAAGATAATAAAAACAATAGATCGTGAATGTTGATGGTTATTATTATTCTTTAAATATATTTATTTGTTTTTGTTTTAATTAAATTAGATGGAAAATCAAATTTTTTTAAGAGAATTTTTACAAGACAAACAAGATGATAATCAGATAGCGAAAATTCTTCTTTTACAACGTCTTATTCGTTCACATTATGTTCGTCGACAATTTCAACAAGTTCGAAATGAATATTTGAAAACAATAAGTGATATCGAAGGTGAAATTTCAATAAAACCAATTGAAATTATTCCAACAAAACAAGAACCAGTAAAACAAACAAGTAGAACTAAACTACTTATTTTTTTTTCTGTTATATAATCTATTTTATTTTTAGTTGTTAGTCTTCCAACAAAAGATGAATTATTAAAAAAACGTGAAGAAATAGCAATTGAACTTCTTTGGATTGAACAAGCTATTCAAAGTCGAAAAGATTATTTACGTTTAAAATCTCTTTATACAACTTCTGTTTCTTAGAAATTAAATTCTCTTTTTTTTTTGTACAAAATTTTAAAAAAAATAGAAATGAATGAAATTAGTTTTGATTTGTTTATTTGTTTTAAGATGATACATGAATAATTATTGAAAAGAAAAAAAATGAGTGGTATTCAATTGAATCGATTACTTGTTGCATTAAATCGAATTAAGCAACATGGTATTGATAAAAAGAAAAAGATAGAATTTTTCAGAGAGTAAAGGTAATTCTTTTTTGTTTTGTTTTTAAAGGTTATATCCCAATTTGTAAACAATCGACAGCTGCTCAATCTAAGAAGGAGCCAGAAAAAATAGAAGTATTCGTTGATGGAAAACCTGTTCAAGTTGAACCAAATACGACTGTACTTCAGGTAAAAGGATATAGAATATGAACTGAAAAATAATAGATATTGAGTATCTCCTCATTAATGTTTTATCCAGGTTTTCTCTTCTGGAGAGGCAATTCAAAACTTCCGGATAACGAATATCTACTTTCTGGAGGACAAACTCGACCTCCCATTCTTCACTAGGTTGTGCAGGATCAAGTTTTTTTGGTTCTGGTCTAGAGAAAATTTTTCTAGAATTTATTCGTATCACATCTTAAAAAGTTTTTCAATACTCGGCCGATGACTAACACTTTTTTGGATCATCTCTCCTGAACTATGTTCTGATTGATATGATTTATTAGATAATTCGCTTAAAATCATAAAATATCAGATTATAATCTTTAGTTTCGATTGGGACAATTTTTTTCTTGTGTAGTCCCAGTCTTGCACATCTTTACCTGGACGTTTTTTTTTGTCAGGATATATATATTGAGAGTGACGAGATATTATGTATCTGCTCTATAAATTTGAAATAAAAAAAACAACAACCATAATTTAATTAACGATGATATTTCAAAGCAAAATTCTTCAATAATGAACAGATATGTTTGTGCGTATCTAGGCTTGTGCTGTTGCTGGTGTCGAGATTCCTCGTTATTGTTATCATGATCGTTTATCAATTGCTGGTAATTGTCGAATGTGTCTTGTTGAAATCGAAAAATCACCTAAAGTATATAAGTCTATTTGTATATTGATTTTTATTAATGATTTATATTCATTTTTTTTCTAGCCAGTTGCTAGTTGTGCAATGCCTGTAATGAAAGGCATGCGTATTTTAACTGATTCACCACTGACAAAACGAGCACGTGAAGGTGTTATGGAATTTTTACTTGTTAATCATCCATTGGATTGTCCTATTTGTGACCAAGGTGGTGAATGTGATTTACAAGTAAGTTTAATAATTAAAAAATACATATAAAATTATATATATATTTTAATTTCTAGGATCAATCAATGGCATTTGGTAGTGATCGGAGTCGTTTTACTGATAATGAATTCTCTGGCAAACGGTATAATTGAAGAAAAATTGTCTTTAAAAGAAAAAGAAAAAATGTTATTTTTCATTTTAGATCAGTAGAAGATAAAAATATAGGTCCACTTATTAAAACAAGCATGAATCGTTGTATTCATTGTACACGTTGTGTTCGTTTTGGTAGTGAAATAGCCGGAGTTAGTGATCTTGGTACAACAGGACGTGGTAGTGATATGATTATTGGTACATATGTTGAAAGACTTTTTATGTCAGAACTTTCGGGTAATGTTATTGATTTATGTCCTGTTGGAGCATTAACATCAAAACCATATGCATTCACGGCACGACCATGGGAAACAAGGTAAAAGAAAAAAGAAGAAGAATTATTTGCTTTATTTGATATTCAGTTTTTTTTTATTCTGTTAAGAAAAGCGGAATCAATTGATGTCATGGATGCATTAGGTAGTAATATTGTCGTACATACACGTTCTGGAGATGTACTTCGTATACTTCCACGAACAAACGACGTAATATTGAATAAAACAAAAGGAAATTTTTTTTATTCGATTGAAATATAATATTTAGGAAGTTAATGAAGAATGGATTTCGGATAAAACACGTTTTGCTTATGATGGTCTTAAACGACAACGTTTAACAGCTCCAATGTTAAAAAATCGAGATGGTTATCTTGTTCCATGTGATTGGGAAGATGCATTAAGTGTTGTTGCTGAACGTGTATGTTATCTGTTTTCTTTTTTTTATTTTTGTAAATATTTGGTTATTTTCTTACAATGAGAATATGTATAGATTGGTCGAACAGGATCAGGTTCAAAGATGGCTGCTCTTGCAGGACGTTTTTGTGATGCTGAAGGACTTATTGCTTTAAAAGATTTTATGAATCAACTTGGTTGTGAAACTGTTTGTGTTGAAGAACGGTTTCCAAATGTTGGTGCTTCGTATGTAGTTTTTTTTAAAATTATATTTCTAAAATTTATTTATTTATATTTTGTAATTAAGAATTGATCTTCGTAGTAATTATTTATTTAATGGAACAATTGCTGGTATTGAACAAGCTGATTTAGTTTTATTAATTGGAACGAATCCACGTTATGAAGCATCTGTACTTAATGCACGAATACGTAAAGCGTTAGTAGATTTTTAATAATTTTAAATAAGATAGTGTTTTCGACCTTCTTTTTTTGTTTTTAGTTGGACACATAATGATTTACAAGTAGCTGTTATTGGTCCAAAGATTGATTTAACATATCCATATGAACATTTAGGAGATAATACAAATGTTTTAAATGAATTAACATCTGGCAAACATGCATTTTCGAAAGTTTGTAGAAATGTCTTTTCTGTTTTTGTTTTGTATGTTAATTATGATACTTTTTCTTTTTTAGACTTTAAATGAAGCAAAACGTCCATTGGTTATATTAGGAAGTTCAATGTTTGAACGTCCGGATGCAACATCAATTTATGCAAGTGCAGCACAATTATCAGAAAAATTACGTGATGTTTCTGCAAAAGAAGATAAAGAATGGCGTGTATTTAATGTTCTTCATCGAGTATGTTTTGTTTCAAAGAAAGAAACTTAGCATTGAATTAATATTATTATTATTATTATTATTATTATTTTAGTATGCTTCACAAGTAGCAGCTCTCGATCTTGGTTATAAGCCAGATTTTAAAGTATAAAAAAAATTGTTTTACTTTTTATTTTGTGAAAATTTCACTTTTTTTTTGTTAAGAGCATCATTGATTTAAAACCTAGTCTATTGTATTTATTCGATGCTGATGAAGGTTTAATTAAACGTGAAGATCTACCAAAAGATTGTTACATTATTTATCAAGGTATGATCATATGAGGTCGTTAGTAGGGGCGAGACATTTTTTTTAACGGGACTTAATTAATGAACTTAATTAAGTTTTCCACGTAACACTTAATATTAAGTGTTATGTGAAAAACTTAAACTTAATTTTAAATTAATGTTGATGGTCCACCCCTAAGTCGTTAGGAAAAGTCAAATGAAAATATGTCTCTAAATTATTTAATAGATTCTTCGTACTTACTTTTATGTCTTGTCTAATCTTAAGCAATCGCGCTTATAGATCCATAAGTTTAAGGAGATAAGAATAAAATATGACGCGAAAATGGTTTATTTCAAAAATATTCACTTATTTTTTGGCTATTTAACAACAACTGGTGAGAGCCGAAAACAATTAGTTAGAATTAGACTTTTTCGCTCTTTTCGAATATGTATTCAGAATTTCTTCATGGCTCAAAATTAGACGACTATTATAAGATTGTTTTTCTATTTTATCTAGAAATTAGGTCTTTAGTAGGAGTGCCTAGATTTCGCTTATTGTCATATTTAATTCAATACTCTACTATAATGTTGAGTTGAAGCTGTTTCAGACAAACTAAGGATGGTGCCAAAACCGTTATTTCGCTTTTTCCTTACAAAATTTACTGATAGTTGTTTAATTTTACTCAATTTTTTTTGTGTACATTTACCCCACGGATTCTAATTATATTCTCTAACAAAAATTTGAGATTTCTATAAAGCTTTCGTTTATTATTATTTTTTTCTTCTTTACCAAAAAAAATTCATCGAACATTAGTGATTAATTTTAGGTCATCACGGTGATCGTGGTGCACAAATAGCTGATGCTATTCTTCCTGGAGCAGCATATACAGAAAAACATGCTATATACGCAAATACAGAAGGACGTGCTCAACAAACACATTTAGCAACGACTCCACCAGGAAAAGCACGTGAAGATTGGAAAATAATTCGTGCACTTGCTGAAGTTTGTATTTGAATTTCTTTTCAATAAAATATTTGTTTTTTTTT